CCCCCCCCCCCCCCCCCCCCCCCCCACAGAATAAAAAGGCATGGCGTTCTATTATGACCCAGTGAATCGGTCTTTTTTTGGTGACGTCCTATTATGACCTATCTGAAATTTTCTCTTCAGTTATACTCATTTTTCTTTAAAATTGGTATGACGTTATATTACGTCTAGAGGATCAAACAGCTCTGGATGCTCTTCTATTATAGGAAGGCGTTCAATTCTGGGGGGGATGGGTTACTGTTATCAGCAGTTACGAGACCTTGATGTTTTGTTCCTGTTTTGTGTCACTTTATTCGATAAGTAGAAACTTTTCCATTTTCCGCTAGGTATACACCAGACCCAATTTTTAACCAGTAAACTGTTATCAGTCAGAACTGGAACTGGTACATACCTACTTCTTTCCTCCTTCTCAAGTTTTTCTCTCCTCTTTCCAGCTGGAGAAAAAAGGAGTGAAAATATTACTTTATCTTCTCGTTTTCTTGTCTCAAAGAACATAGAGACGCAGACTGAATGTGTAGTAAAGAAGAAAATGGTAGAAAGACGAAGGCAAATACTGCTTTGACAGACTCATTATTATTTTTATGCATCTAGCTCTACTCCTCAGCAATCTTGTCTACACAGTACGGATATCCACAAGTCGCTGGCTGTTCGTTTTTCTTTCGTCCTTATAAAATTTTGCCTCCACATGTCGCTGATTGTTCTGTTTTTTTCCTCTCATGATGTTTTTTCTCCTCTTTGCATCAGCATATAATAGAAGTGAAAATATTTCTTTATTTTCTCGTCTTGCTGTCTCGTAGAACACAGAGACGCTGACTGAGTGTGTAAGAAAGAACAAAATGTTAGAATGACGAAGCGAAGAGATATTGTTTTGATCGAACTATTTACACAAGATAAAGTGGAGGCAACATGTGATAAGGAGGAACGAAAAAAGAGCAAACAGCGAAATGTGGATGTTCGTGCTGTGAGAAGAACACAGCAGGGTGCAGAGATGGGCAACCCAGGTTGAGACGAACGTTTAAAAAGCGCGTTCTAAATGGACGAACGTATGAAAACGTATTCTGAACGCGTTTCGAACGCGTTTTATATAGCTCGCTCGTTTCGCACGCGTTTATAGCGTTCTTGTCTCCTTTGTAGAGGCCGTGAGCGAATAAGAATGAAAAATGACAGTCTCTCATTAAAATAAAGTAACTTTTCGTTTTTATTTTTAAGTTGTAATTATTGTCAAGAAATAGAAATTATAAAATATCTTTGATCACAAATTATTTTAGATAATTATTCTCTTTATTTTTTTTTTGAGTAAGGAAAATGTTTATTACGTTCGTAGACGCTTATAATAATTTTTTTCGTGTTTTTTTATTTTATTTATATATATTAATTGGCAATTATACAAGTTAATATTTTTAGATGATGCGAACTTATTTTTCAGTTTATACAATGAATAAGTCAATTTATGCACATATACTCGGTGTTGATGATTTACGTGCTAGTCTATTTCAGACGTATTGTAATTTTTTATTTCTAAATTTTCTCTTACAATACTTGTATTATAACTTGTTTCATATAAATCGTGATTTAAAAAGAACACAGTTCTTAAGATACCGACAACGCATTTAGGAAAGGAGTTTTTATTCCATTTAAAAAATATTTTTTTTAATTCACGTAAGCTTGCTCATATACTTTTATGAAATAGTTTTTTATTTGTGAAATTTTTACGTTCTATTATCTCTTTCGATTTAGGTTCTTCTTGACGTGCGAGGTAATCACAAACGCTGAGTTCTATGATCTATATATACTGGCACTCCAGCTGATCTCGCAAAGAGCACGTTTACTTTCGTATATGAAGATTTTTTACAGTTCCTAGAGTACACATTCACGCGAAAAATAAAAAGGTAGTTAAATAAATAAGACCTCTTTAACTATCTTCTTATTTTTCGTGTGAATGTATACCTTAGAAACTGTAAAGTATCTTCATATACGAAAGTAAACGTACTCTTTGCGAGACCAGCTGGAGTACCAGTATATATAGATCATAGAATTCAGCGTTTGTGATTACATCACACGTAAGGACGAACCTAAATCAAACGGTATAAAAAGATGCATTCGGAACATGCGAACGAAAGTCAGAATGCGTTTCGAACGATGCGAACGCGCTGTATACAAGCAGGAGAACACGTTCAGAACCACTAGTTCTGAATAGGGATGTGCAGTATCAGTATACTGACCACCGATAAAATCGCACTG